TAGCAGGCTGTTGAAAAACTCTCGACGCGACGCCGAGTTCAAAATCTGGCGACGATAATCAGCACATTATTGATTGCCTCGATTGCATTAGATGGAATATCCATTCAATTCGACGAATGTCGTAAACAATCCGATGCTCGTTCTTTGTCCGTTTACCCGAGGCGCCCTAATTCAACAGCCTGCTAGTATTACAACGACGGATTGCCAAATATGGTGCCTGATCCTTCGTATTCGGCCACGAGTGAGAAATCGCGGTAAGCTCATGGCAGTACGGTTCAGGTCCAAATGGGTCGCGAAAATCACCCGGTCAGATTAACCGTCGTTGTAATACTAGGGCTAATCGACAATTGGACGAAACCCGGTTGTGGTGGTAGGGCAGAAACAGAGTACGAGGAGGTACAGTGAAACTCTGGCAGCAAAGTGTGGTGGAAGGGAGGTATGTGATGAGTTACGAGTGAGCAGCACTCAATGGCGGCAGGTGGAGAGTTTCCCTGCCGGGGCGTCCCGGTTGGGTCGGCGTTACCGCCAAGGACAACCGGACCTCGTCAACGGCGTCCTGTGGGTGCTGCGCAGCGGCGCACAGTGGAAAGACCTGCCCCTGGGTATGGCAACTGGAAAAGCGTCCACAAGCGTTCATCACCCGCTGGGCCAGGGGCCGGAATCTGGGAGAGGATCTTCCAAGTGTTGCTGGACGACCCGGACAACAGATACGTGATGATTGATTCCACCATAGTGGCTGGGCCCCATCAGCAGGCGGCCTGTGGCAAAGGGGGGGCCACAGTGAGGCTCTGGGCCGCTCCCGCGGCGGACTGAGCACCAAGGTTCATCTCCTTGTTGATGCCCAGGGGCGCCCGGTGCGTTTCTCTCTCACCGGCGGTCAGCGGGCGGATGTCTCCCAGGCCATACCTCTGCTGACCGGTATCGAGACTGGGGCCGTCATCGCCGACAAGGGTATGAAAGCAACCGGGTACTGGCCTTCATCCGGGGACCAGGGAGCGGAAGCGGTCATACCGCCCAAGTCAAACCGGAGGGACCCTTGGGAATACGACCGGGAACTGTATCGGGAGCGCAACCTGATTGAGCGAGCCTTCAACAAACTGAAACAGTGGCGCACGAATCGCCACCCGGTATGATCGCAGGAGCTTGTATTTTCTGTCGGCCCTGCACTTGGTAGCCTCTGTCATCTGGGGTTAGCAATTGTCGATTAGCCCTAGTGGATGGTATAGAGCGACCGGGAGTTCCTGAATATCTGGATCAGCTGCGGACAGTCAAAAACCTTCCGACGCCAGCCACAGGTAGCGCCGCGCCAGAGCTGGGGCGTCCGTTGCTCTTTTTAGATTTTGCGTAAAGTCCAGCCTGGCTGGCGTCCAGCATCAACCAGCAGCCATTGGCGATCGACACGGTGCGGCGTTGGCCGCCTATACCTCACCTTCGTGCGGGACAATTTTCCGCCACCGCCGCCGCCGCACCCGCTAATAGGTCACGTTGGCGGGTTGAAACTGGGACGCAATTCTCTGTTCATCCGCGGACCTGAAGGGAAAAGTCGACGCGGTACCGGCCATCGGCTTACATCGGTACCAAGCTATGCGGGGCATTGTGGATGTGAGTGATTCCCGGCCACTGAACAATAAAATCGCGCCCGGGGTTTCCGGGCGCGATCATGCCGTCGATTACGGCCTCTTACTGTGCGGTGCTGGGCATTTGTCCAGCATTTGTCCAGCAAAATCGGCCGATATCTGTCAATACGCAAGTTATTGATACCTTGTTTGAGTTTGCAACCGACCCATATTGAGAAAATGGTGCCGAAGGTCGGACTCGAACCGACACGGGATTTACTCCCACCGGTTTTTGAGACCGGCGCGTCTACCATTCCGCCACTTCGGCAGGTTGCCAAATTATAGCACGGTTGCTTTGGGGGCACTCGCGTTGTAGCATGAATGGACTGGCCAGCCGGCTCTCAAGCCACCTTTGGTTGGGGCTGGCGGCATACATTGCGGCGGTGCGATTATGAGCATTAAGGAACGTTTGGAAGAAGATATTCGCCACGCAATGCGCGCACGGGATCAGGAACGGCTGGACGCTCTACGGTTCCTCAAAAGCCAGATTCAGCTGGTTGAAAAGAATAACCTCAAAGAGCTGGATGAAGCTGGTGTGGTGGACGTGGTGGCCAAGCAGGTCAAGGATCGGCGCGAAAGCATCCAGATGTTCAGCGATGGCGGCCGCGACGACCTGGTAGCGCAGGAAACGGCGGCGTTGGCAGTGGTGCAGGAATACCTGCCGGAGCAGTTGGGCGTGGCAGAACTGGAAGCGCTGGCTCGCCAGGCTATTGCCGATCTGGGCGCCACCGGACTTTCCGACCGGGGCAAGGTGATGGGAAGGATTATGCCGCAGGTGCGCGGCAAGGCCGATGGCGGCGATGTCAATGCTGTCGTTGCGCGCCTGCTGGAAACCGCTGGCTGATTCTCGCCATGCGCTTCGGCATCCTAGTCTTTCCGGGCACCTGGAGCGAAACCGATTGCCATCACGCCGTGAACGGCGTATTGGGCCAGGAAGCCGATTACATCTGGCATCAGGATGATGATCTGACCGGCTACGACGCGATTATCGTGCCGGGCGGTTTTTCTTACGGAGATTACCTGCGTGCCGGAGCAATCGCGCGATTTTCGCCGGTGATGGGTGCGGTCATAAAATTTGCCGCAGCCGGCGGCCTGGTAATTGGCATCTGCAACGGGTTCCAGATACTCTGCGAGGCCGGATTGTTGCCGGGCGCATTGCGTCGCAACGAACATCTGCAATATCGATGCCAATGGACTCGCCTCCGGACGGAGCGTACCGATACACCGTTCAGCCGACGTTGCGCGCCCGAGCAAGTGCTGGAAGTGCCGGTTTCCCACGGGGAGGGCAGCTACTTTGCCGATGCCAGGACTCTCCAGGAACTGGAGGAGCAGCGCCGCATCCTGTTTCGCTATTGCGATGCTGACGGCGTGGCAACGGCCGAAGCCAATCCGAACGGTTCGGTCGCCAACATCGCCGGCATCCTGAACGAGCGGGGAAATGTGCTGGGGGATGATGCCTCACCCTGAGCGCAGCTGTGAGCTTTTGCTGGGTTCTGACGATGGCAACCTGATTTTCGGTTCCATGACCGACGTGGGAGCCGGGCGCTAATAGATGCTTTTGTCCATCGGGTTGGCGTGCATTTCGGTGCTGGGATTTGGCAGCGCCGCTATTTTTGCCCGCGTCGGGATGCAGGGGATGTCCCCGATGCCTGGCACGCTCGTATCGCTGGTGGCGTCGACAATGCTCGCGGGGGCGCTGGCGCTGGCGTTCGATTTCCAGGCGGTTATAGCTTTGCCTGCCATCGCGATGGTTTGGTTTCTGGGCAACGGCATCCTCACCTACATGGGCGGGCGCACGCAGCAGTACGTTGCCATCAGCCTGGTGGGGGCGTCTCGCGTTACGCCGATTGTTGGGGCGGCAGCGTTATTTTCAGCGTTCTACGCCATCGTATTCACCGAGATTGGAGTGCCGGGATTTGACGAACATCTGACCGTGTTCATCGGCATAGGGACGGTGGTGGTCGTGGTCGGCCTGGCGCTGACGGGAGGGAACTTCCTGAAGCAAAGCTGGGGTCGAGACTGGAAATCCGTTCTTGGTTATGGCCTGGCTCTAGCGTCGGCGGCCTGCTACGGCGCGGGGACGCTGAGCGGACGAGTGCTGACCAACCTGTTCGGTTCTCCGTTCATAATGGCGGCCGGCAGTATGTTTTTCGCCATGCTGGTGCTGTCGCCGTGGTTCGGACGGCAAGCGGTGGAGGGAGTAACGCGGGCCGGTCGAGGCTCGGTGTTCATGTTTCTGGCCGGTTTGTCCGCTGCGTGTGCCGTGATGAGCCTGTATTTCGCGATTAGCCGCGAAGGTTCCAGCATTCTGGTACTCAGCCCGATTGTGTCGTGCAATCCATTGGTAACGCTGGTGCTGGCGCGCATTTTCCTGCGGCGCATCGAAACTATTTCCAGGGAATTGGTGATTGGAACTTTGATGGCCGTCGGTGGCGTAGCCCTGGTGGTCGCCGGTGGATTGATTCAGGCTGGCAATAGATAGCTCGACACACTTCGGAGAATTGAAATGCCTGTGAGTCGGGAAACGCTGGATGAGATTGCGCTCTCCCCCGCTGAATATGAAATGATCGTGGACGGACTGGACCGGGAACCCACGCCGGTCGAGTTGGGTATGTTCGGCGCCCTGTGGAGCGAACACTGCGGCTACAAGCATTCACGCCCGTTGCTGCGGATGCTGCCGAGCCGTTCGTCACGCACACTGTCCCAGGCCGGCGCAGAGAATGCCGGGGCCATCGATATCGGCGACGGGCTGGCGGTGGTGTTCAAGGTGGAGTCGCACAACCACCCGTCGGCGGTGGAGCCGCTTCAGGGCGCCGCCACCGGGGTGGGCGGCATCGTGCGGGACATTCTTGCGATGGGGGCGAGGCCGATCGCCCTGCTAAATTCTCTCCGCTTTGGCCCACCCGACAGCGTTGCCAACCGTCGCCTGCTGCGGGGCGTGGTGGATGGCATCGGTTGGTACGGCAACTGCATAGGCGTGCCCGATGTGGCTGGCGAAATCTACTTTGACCCTTCCTACTCGCTGAACCCGCTGGTCAACGCGATGTGCGTTGGCATTGCGCGCATTGACGATTTGGCCAGCGCCGCAGCCGATCGTGCCGGGGATGTGCTGCTGCTGGTGGGAGCGGGCACCGGACGGGATGGCATTCACGGCGCATCTGGCCTGGCCTCGCGCACGTTTGAAGAGGAGCAGGAACTGCGTCCCACGGTTCAAGTGGGCAACCCCTTTTTGGAGAAGGTACTGATTGAGGCTTGCCTGGAGGCGTTGGGCACCGGCAAGGTTCATGCTCTGCAAGACCTTGGCGCCGCCGGCTGACAGCGCGGCGGTGGAATCGGCGTGCACGAGGTGGTCGGGGCATCGCTCTGGACATCAGCCGGGTGCATCGGCGGGAGACCGGTCATGACCGGCTACGAGGTGATGCTGTCGGATAGTCGCAGGAGCGGATGCTGCTGGTGCTGCTCCGGAGCACGTGCCCGGCGTTAACGACGTGTTCGACAAGTGGGACGTGGCTGGCGAGGTGGGTGGGTACGATAACCGCCGATGAGACGGTTTGGGTTGCCGACGGCGCGGAGCCGCTGGTTGACCTGCGTGAGGCAATCTGGCGACTGCGCCCCAGTATCGGCTGAGCGGTGCGCCCACCGAGGCAGTACTTGCAGCGGCAGCGACTCCGGTTCAGCGACGTGCCGTCTTGCCCGCCGATGCCCGGGACGGACACTCCAAGCTACTGATGGCTGCCCCCAACATTGCCAGCCGCCGCGGCGTGTACCGCCAGTATGACCATCAAGTGCAGACTAACACTGTGGTTGCGCCGGGCGCAGGTGATGCCGCAGTTCTCCGCATCAAAGGAACCGACCGCGCCATTGCGGTAGCCATCGACGGCAACGGTCGGCAGTGCTACCTGGACCCTTATCGGGGCGGGCAGATGGTGGTTGCCGAAGTCACCCGCAATCTGTCCTGCACTGGCGCCGAACCGCTGGCGCTGACCGATTGTCTGAATTTCGGCAATCCGGAACGACCGGAGGTGTATTTCCAGCTGGAGCAGTGCATCCGCGGGATGGCGCGGGCTTGCCGTGCTTTGCAGGTTCCGGTGGTTAGCGGAAACGTGAGCCTGTACAACGAAAGCCAGGGCACGGCGATTTTTCCCACCCCCATTGTGGGTGGGTTGGGGCTGCTGGAGGATGCAACACGACATTGCCAGTCGGGATTCCCGGCGGACGGGCTGGCCGTGGCGCTGTTGGGCGCAGATGGGTTGACGGCGCGGGCGTCTGACCTGGCCGGCAGCGAATATCTGAACACTTTGTACGGGATGGTGCGAGGTCGACCCCGCATCGATCTCGCGCTGGAACGGCGCGTGCAGGGGCTGTGCCGCCGCCTGATTGCCGACCGCACGGCTCTGTCGGCGCACGATTGTTCCGACGGCGGTTTGGCGGTGGCTTTGGCCGAGTGCGCAATTATCGGGGCCAGTCGAATTGAGCATGGCCCGGTGACTGGTTTCACCGCAACGACCGAACTGGTGGATGGACTGCCGCGCCGGTGGGATGCGGCGTTGTTCGGCGAGGCCAGTTCTCGCATCGTGGTAACCGTTGCGCCGGAGCGGTTGGCGGACCTGATGAGCGCCGCCCGCGAAGCCGACGTCCCGCGCTGCTACTGGGCGCGACCGGTGGCACGCGCCTGCAGATTGGCAACCTGGTGGACCTGCCGGTAGCTGCGCTCGCCGACGCGTGGTACGGCGGCCTGGGCGCGGCGCTGGCGTAGGCCAACCGTGGGGCGGACAACGTGTCCGCCCGATTGGTTAGGTGAACAGGACGGCTGCTTCCGCGTCGTCTGCGGATTCGCCGCTATCGGCCTCGGCGGAGTGGTGTCCGTCCAGAGGTGGGGTGGCAATGGCGTCGTTGGTGGCGGTGAATTCGCTGGCTGACACGGCGTAACCGGGACCGAGCCGAGCGGACAGCGCGATGCCCGTGAGAGGATGAGAGCGGTTCAGGACGAACACCCGTCGCCGCCGTGAGCGGTTGGTGGACTCATCGCGCACGTTGACGTTGCGGTACTGGAACACTCCGTTCGAGGCGAGGGTGCGCACCATTCGGGTGATGAACGTGCGCGAACAGTTGTCGCCCCAATGTTCAACGATGGTCGGGTCGGCGGCTTCGATGCCGGCGCTCAGGGCCTGGCTGATTTCGATGCACAGCGCGTTGAACATCACGGAGTCGGCGCCGTCACGCTCTTCCAGAGTGTGACCCATCACGATCAGGTCGGCAACGCGGTCGGCGGAACCGTTGCCGGCTTCGGATGCGGGTAAGTCCAGGGCTGCAACCGCCCCGTTCAGCGCCGCCGACATCCGTGCCGGTTCAGGCCGGGCGTCGTGAGCAGCACGCACCGGCTGTCTCACCGGCGGGCGAGGTGGAGCGTCTTCGTACAATTCTGCGTCGTCGCCCGATTCGTCCTCGTCTTCATCGGAAACCGACGTTTCGGAAACCGACCTTTCGGATGGATACCTGGCGTCGTCCCGGTCGTCGTCGTCTTCGGCGGTGTAGTCATAGCCGTCCGCGCGGATTTCCTCGGGCAGGTCGTCGTCATCGTCGCGGTTTTCTGGCACCGGGTCGGGTTCGTCGGCCATCAGGATCCAGTCCACCAGGTCGACGCTGCGAATTTTGATGTTGCCTTCTTCGGCGACACGGAGCATCAGCTTTTTGAATCCGGAGAAACCGAGCTTGCGCTCGTCGAATCCGGCGATGCGTCGCACGAGGCGCTGTTTCAGGGATGTGAGGAGCAGCGTGTGGCCGGCTCCGCGTTCGGAACGGATGACGTCCTCGATGGCCCGAATTACCTCTGGAAGCTGGTGCCGACCGGGATTGGCCAACGGCGCCGGAGGCGCGATGCGGCCACGGAAGGCAGGTTCCGGCACGTTGATGGGGTCAACGTCGGAGTCGTAGAAGATGAGACCGTCCACATGGTCGGCCATGCGGCGGGAGGTGGCCCACGACACGCCCACCACCAGCACGCGCTTGCCGACGGCGCGCAGCGAGTTGATGACGTGGATGAAGTCAGAATCACCGGACACCAGCACGAAAGTGTTGATGTTGGGGAAGTTGTGCGCCGTGTCTATACAATCGGCGGTCATCTTCACGTCGACGCTGTTCTTGATGCGCATGGTGCGACCGGGTTGGAAAGAACCGCCCGGAGGCAACCGCGTGGGCACGTACACCGGCTCAATGCCGGCAGCGTATAGCGATGGAGGATCCAGGATGAACTGGCTGGCTCCCCTGAGTTCGGGAGATCGGGACACCCAGTCGGCGTAGGCTTTGCTAACTACTACGCGGCCATGGTTGGCCACTTCTTCTTTAAGGGCGGAGACGTTGGGAGTGCGGCCTCGAACTGCCAGACTAATCTTGAAGTTTTCCCAGTCGATGAATAACGCCACGTCTTCGCTGAATGTGGAATTGCCGTTAGATTGCTGAATTGCGATGGTATTTCTCCGAATAGCGCTCGTCGGCGCCTTATGTGATCGAAAGTTTAATCATGGTGGCATACCAGCGTCAAGTTTATGCTGATTATCGTACCGAATTGACGCTAACACGGGCCTTTTCCGAGTGCAAATGCTGCGTTTGCCGGTTCGTTGCTGGGTTTCACGCCGGTATGCTATGGTTGTCGCCGTTCGCCGCACGCCTATACTGGCCTGCATTCTGAACGGGTTTGGATGCTTTCGCAAATGTCGGGTTTGTTACGGGTTACTTTGCTACGGGTTGCGATGTTGGCAGTGTTGGTCTTCGCGGCGTCGGCAATGTTGTCCCAGGTATTGCCGGCGCGGGTATTGCCGGTGCGAGAGTTGCCGATTCAGGTATTGCCGGCGATGGTTAATACCGCATATGCCAACGGAGCATCAACCCTATTGTACGACCAAACCCAGGGCCGATACCGGCTGGTGGTGGGTATTATTCCAGCCCGTCCGGTGATCCCGCAAACCCACCTTTCGATGCAGGTGTTTGATGCCGCCGCCGACCGGGTGCTGCGTGACACTGACATTCAGGTGCTTATATCGGCGTCGGGGCCGGCGGGTTCACGGCAGGTTGAGCCCCGGGAGGTCGTCAATGACGTGTCCATCGTATACTTCGAGACGAACGTGGCGTTTGACGTGGTGGGCCCCTGGCAGGTGCTGGTTGAGATTTCATCAGACCAGGGCGAGGAATGCTTTCTGATACCGGTGCAGGTTGGGGAACCGGGCGCCAGCATCCAGTGGGTATGGGTGTCGGCCGTGCTGGTAATCATCGTGGCGGTGGGTATCTGGACGTTGTTGACGGTGAGCCGGCGCGGACGGGAGCAGCAGTAGTGTCGGGGGTGGTTGGGGTGCGTTGCGACACGGCGAGGTGTAGGGCAAACACCGTCTGGCGACTCCCTGCTGGCGGAGCGGCCGCGTGAAACTGCGCCTGACGGTGGCGTTGGCGGCGATCGGACTAGCCGTGTTGTGCGGGTCTGCGTTCGCGCAACCCGTAATGGCCCACGGATTCGGAGAGCGATACGACCTGCCCTTGCCGTTGCGATTTTTCCTGATGGCCGGCGCGGCTGCGGTTGTGCTGTCCTTCGTGATTGCGGCAGTGGTTCTGCGGGGAGGAGCCACGCATCGCGGCTATCCGCGCTACAACCTGCTGCGGATTCCGCCGGTAAGATGGCTGGCCAGCCCCTGGAGTCTGGCAACCGTTCGAACCATATCGTTCGCGCTGACTGGTTACGTCATTTTCGGCGGGTTCTTCGGGTCAGAGCGGGCGGCGTTGAATCCGGCGCCGGCCGCGGTGTACGTAGCCTTCTGGGTGGCGCTGAGCTTCTTCACGGCCATCATCGGGAACCTTTGGGCGCTGGTGAACCCGTGGAAGATAGCTTGGGGATTCCTGGCGCAGGTCGCAGGCTCGGTGCAGCCGGGCGCTCTGGCCCGACCCCAACTGGTCTATCCGGCCAGGTGGGGGCTGTGGCCGGCGTTGTTGGTGTTCCTGGGGTTTGCGATACTGGAAACGGTGATTGCCGGCGCCGCTGGCCCGAGGGCATTGGCGTGGATTCTCGTTATTTACACCGTCTATAATTTTTTGGGGATGTACCTGTTTGGGCGCGATGTGTGGCTACGCAACGCCGAGGGGTTCACCGTGGTGTACGGGTTTCATGGCGCGGTTCGCCATCACCGAGGTTAGTGTTGCGCGGTCGATTTGCGTCGCCTGTTCCTCCGATGGCGGTTGTGCCGCCGATGCCGGCGACTGTGTGGATTGTTACGAATGCTACGCCTTGGCCCAACAATCGCAGCGGCGGTTCAACCTGCGCCCGCCCGGTGTGGGTCTGAACCGTATCGGCGCAGTGACGCTGCCGGGTGTTTGCGTGGTGGTCTTGCTACTGTCCACCGTGTCGTTTGACGGATTGTCGGCGACACCCGAGTGGTTGTCGTTCAGCACATGGTTCATATTGCAGACGCCGTCCTTCGGAGGTTACATCGCCAATCTCAGCGGCGCGCTCGGTCTGCCGGTCCTGTTCGGAGCGTTGTTCGCGGCCACCTGCGCGTTGATGGCGCTGTTATCGGGCCGGGCCCAACCGGAGGCGCGGCAGCTGGTGCAGGTGTTCATGTTTTCGTTGCTGCCGATTGCCCTGGCCTATCATTTCGCCCACTTCCTGGGGTTTTTATTCATCAACGGCCAGCGGTTCATTGTGCTGGTGTCCGACCCGTTCGGCTGGGGGTGGGATCTGTTCGGCACGGCCGGGGCGATCATAAACATCGGTATCCTGTCGCCCTCATTCATCTGGTATTTCTCGATCGCAGTTATCGTTATCGGACACATTGCCGGAGTTTATCTGGCCCACGTTTTCAGGCGGTGCGATTGTACGGGGAACGGCGGCCGGCGCTGTTGAGCCAGCTACCAATGCTGGGGCTGATGGTATGTTACACTTGCGCGAGTTTGTGGATTATTTCACGCCCCATCGCAGCGTAATCAGAGCCGGTTGGTCCGAAGGGACGGCCGGCTGAAGTTTCGATAACCGAGAGCGCCAACAAACGGAGAACATGATCGTGCCTGAACGTAGCGGAAGACTGGAAGGGAAAGTTGCCATCGTAACCGGCGCCGGCTCCAGCGGGCCCGGGGTCGGTAATGGGCGGGCGACGGCGACGCTGTTCGCTCGCGAGGGCGCGCGGGTTCTGCTGGCCGACATGACCGTCGAACGGGCCGAGGAAACCCAGCAGATGATTCATGCGGAGGGCGGCGTGTCGTCCACGATTCATGCCGACGTTACCAACGCCGAGGATTGCCGGCGCATGGTGGAGGCCTGCATCGAGCGATACGGTCGGCTGGATATTCTGGACAACAACGTGGGGATTTCGCGACGCGGTACGGTGGTGGAAGTTTCCGAAGAGGACTGGGACCAGGTGATGTCAATTAACGTCAAGAGCATTGTGCTGGCCAGCAAATATGCCATCCGCACATGGTCGCAGCCGGCGGCGGTTCCATCATCAACATCTCGTCCATCGCCGGTCTGAGGGCGCACAGCAGCACGCCATACACCGCGTCCAAGGCGGCGGTGATTGGTCTGACGATTTCGATGGCCGCCGACCACGGGCCGGACGGCATCCGCACCAATTGCATCGCGCCGGGGTTGGTCTACACGCCGATGGTTGCGCCCCGTATGGACGACGACCTGCGACAGATTCGCTCCAGCGCGGCGCCGCTGCGCACCGAAGGCACCGCCTGGGACGTCGGCAACGCGGCGTTGTTCCTGGCCAGCGACGAAGCCCGTTGGATCAACGGTGTGGTGCTGCCGGTGGACGCCGGCCTGGTGGTAACGTCACCCGTCACTTACGAGACGCTGGGGCAACAGGTGCGACGCTAGACAGGTGGGACGCTAAACACGTGGGACGTTAGGGAATAAGGCCGTATCCGTCCCGACGGCTGCGGTTCAATCGCCGATTGACACCAGCATCAGGTCGAAAGTCAGGTCTTTGCCGGCCAGCGGGTGGTTGGCGTCGAGAGTAACCGTTTCGTCGGTGACCGACATGATCGTAAAGCTCACCACGGCGCCGTCGCTTTGCTGACCCTGCACCCGGGAGCCGGTTTCAAGTTCCATATCGTCGGGGAACTCATTGCGCGGCACTTCCATCACGCCGTCGTCATGATGCTCGCCGTAAGCATCTACGAACGGTATATTCACCGTTCGGGAATCGCCCGGCGCCATACCGATCACACCGTTGTCGAAACCGGGGATGACCTGTCCGTCGCCAACTGTGAAAGCCAACGGCGTGCCGCCTTCGGATGAGTCAAAGACTTCGCCGTCGTCGAGTTTGCCGGTGTAGTGGACCCGAACCTTGTCCCCTATTTTCACTGTCGTCAATTTACCACCTCTCCCGCAATGGATGGGGAACTATAACATAAGGGGCAGGCCCGGTTGGTTTGTGATATGGTACGGCAACGACCGAGTGATTACCTACGAATCCAGTCGCAGGAGGAACCATGAAGTTCGGATTGTTTATGATGCCGTCCCACCCGCCGGAACGGAACATTTTCGACTCCCACCAGTGGGATCTGCAATATCTGACCTTGTGCGACGAGCTGGGGTTTGAAGAGGCCTGGATTGGCGAGCACTTCACCTCCCCCTGGGAGCCAATACCAGCGCCGGATTTGCTGATCGCCCAGGCGTTGATGCAGACCAAACGCATCAAGTTGGGTTCTGGGGCGCACCTGCTGCCTTTCCATCATCCGGCGGAACTGGCGCACCGGGTTGCCTACCTGGATCACCTGTCGCAGGGCCGGTTCCTGTTCGGCGTGGGAGCCAGCGGACTCCCCAGTGACTGGGAGTTGTTCGATGTGGACGGCGCCAACGGCGTGCACCGCGATATGACTCGCGAATCTCTGGACATCATCCTGAAAATTTGGGAGAGCGACGGGCCATTTGAGTACAAGGGCAAATACTGGAACGTCAACCTGCCCGGGCCTATGCTGGGATCGTTGGAATACTTCCTGCGCCCGTACCAGAAGCCGCACCCTCCCATTGGGGTTGCTTCCGTCAGCTACAAGTCCCCCACGCTAATGATTGCCGGCGAGCGCGGGTTCATTCCGATGAGCCTGGCGCTGAACGTCGATTACTGCCGCAGCCACTGGGAAGCCCTGGAAGAGGGGGCGCAACGCACCAACCGAACGCCGTCGCGGGCGGACTGGCGGCTGGTTCGTGATGTGTACGTAGCCGATACCGACGAAGAGGCTCGCGACAAGGCCCTCAATGGGATGCTGGGGCGCGTGTGGAACGACTACCTGCTGCCGCTGTTCCGGGAGTTCGACCTGATGACGGTGTTCAAGCACGATCCGGAAGTGCCGGACGACGCGGTGAACATTGAGTACATGGCCGACCACCTCTGGCTGATTGGTTCTCCGGAAACGGTGGCGGCGAAGCTGCGCCGGCTATACGGCGACGTGGGCGGATTCGGCGCGCTGCTGATGCTGGTGTACGACCACTGGCAGGATCAGGAAGGCTGGGACAAATCGACGCATCTGCTGGCGGAAAAGGTTATGCCCATGGTGGCAGACCTGACGGGTGAGGCGGCCTAGCGACCTGCGGGCAGAACGCAATCGGTCGAATCGAGGGGATGACGAATCGACCCGTCATTGTGCCGTTTCCGGGTAATTTCCAAAATATAACCCAGCAAAATGCGATCCGGGTGGCGTTTGTAATCGGTCGCCACCCGGTATGGCAAAATACTCGCAGGTCGCACACACAATCCGATGCAGGCGCTGAATGTTGTAGTGTAAGATGGGCCTCGTCAGGTTTTCTCAGCGGGATTTTGCTCCGCTACCGATTTGCAATTAACGGGAAGATAAAACGTATGACGACACCGCGAATAAAAAAAACCAAGCTGATGCGTAGTGTTGAGGAAAAGCAGGGACGGCCCCTGGAAAACCTCGTGCCCGACCTGGTGAATCAGTTGGGGATGAGCCGCGCGGCCACCCAGCTAGGGGTCAGCCCGGCAACCCTCGGATACTGGATGCTGAAGATGGGCATACAGTACCGGCGCGTCGCGTTGGCCGACGGCGAGACGATCGAAGTCCGACGACAGGGGTAAAGCTCAGCGGCGTCAGGGGTCGCACAGCCGGATCAGCCGTCACGAAGGCGACGAGGTGGATTCACCGAGCCCACCTTCATCTACGGGTTCCGCTTCGTCCATGCCGGGCCACGGTGGCATGGTCACGCACAGGAACCGCAGGGGCCCACCCGGGTAAGCCCGAAACTGGAAGGACCACCCAACCGGTATCACGAGGGCGTCGCCGGGGGTAACCGATACCGGCGGAATATCGGCGGGCGGTGCGTCCGGCGGACAACGCCAAACCTCTCCAGCACCGGAAACCACGTACCAGGCCTCTTCGACCGTGCGATGACGAACCGCTTGGCTGACTGCGCCGGGCGGTATGCTGACCTCCACCATGCTGCAACGGGTCGCACCGTGCCCGTCGTGCAGCAGCAGCCGGACTTCGGAGCCGTCCGGCGCGGTGATAATCTCGTCGGAGCGGCGGCCCAGGGGAGGGACTGGCGTTGGCACGGCCGGTGTCGGCTAGCCGGCGCGGGGTTTGCGGCCTTTGCGGTCCAGGAAGTCGGAGAAGCCCTCTTCCACCGATAGGCCCTTGAACCTGCCGGTGCGGCCCATGATTTCGTTCTGGTACTGCTCTTCGACGGGCAGACCGGAATGCTCCAGCAGCATCTGCTTGATGTTGGCCAAACCTTCCACACGATTGCGGGCGATGCCCGCGGCGATGTCCAGGGTGCGGTCCATCAACTCCTCGGCTGGCACCAGGTGGTTGATGAGACCGATGTGGTAGGCCTCGTCAGCGAACACTTCGCGTCCGCTCAGCAGCAGTTCTTTGGCACGGTTGATGCCAACCAGATGGGGAAGGCTCCAGGTGGCGTTCATCTGCCCGTAGTTGACGGCCAAGAACCGGAAGCTCGTTTTTTCGCAGCCCACCAGGAAGTCCAGGGTGGTGGCCAGCACGGTGCCGCCGCCGTAGCAAAGGCCGTTGACGGCGCCGATAACCGGCTTGGAGCAGGTGAACATGTGCCAGGTGTATTCGGCCCGCGCCGCCTGCCCGGCCTCCCGGTCTTCTGGTCCGAGTTCGCGGTTTTCGTGGATGTCAGCGCCGGCGGAAAAAGCCCGTTCGCCGGCTCCGGTAATGATGATGGCGCCCACGCTGTCGTCTGCTTCATAGGCGGTGACCGCCTCGTCCATTTCACGCACCAGCTGGAGGTTCAGCGCGTTGAGCACTTCCGGCCGGTTCATGGTGATGACGCCGATGTGGGTTTCAACCTCGCTGCGGCCCATCTGCGTGGCACGGGTCACGGTTTCGGTATTGATGCACGAGTAGGTGGTAACCATTATCTTTTCCTTAATGCGTCAGTGTTGGACTCCGCGGGTGGTCTGACGCCGTTGAATTTTGGAAGGTTCGCCCAGTCATTATAGCGACGTTCAACTGGGCCGGATAGGAGAGCGCGAAACCGGTTTTTACATGGATGGTCAGGATCTACAGGATTATGATGTTGGGGCCGGGGGTTGCCTCTTTTGCTGGCCCGCTCCCATGGTGTGGGTGTTTTTTTGAGGGGTAAAGGGTTGTCAGCTTACCGGTGGGCGGTGGTGGGCCCAGGGCTGGGCCTCCTCGAAGGCGGCCATGGCCCGGAGGACGCGGGCTTCGGCTCCGGCGGCACCCACTATGTGCAGGCCAACCGGGAGGCCGGCGGCGGAGAATCCGCAGGGCACGCTGGAAGCGGTTTGCCCGCTCATGTTGATGGGGAAGGTGAAGGGAAGATAGCCCCACCAGGGTTCCACGTCGCGGCCGGCGATGCTGGTTGGATGCTCTCCGATGGGGAATGCAGTAACCGCCATTGCCGGGGTGAGCAACAGGTCATAGTCGTTGAAGAAATCGGCGAACCGGCGTTTGTGCCGGTCGACATAGGCCAGGGCCCGCGACAGGTCGGCGGCTGACAATTTCGAGGCGGAGTCGAAGGTGTTGCGCACATAGTCGGTAAGCTCGTCCCGTCGCTCCGGATAGAGATTCTGGTAGGAGGCATAGGATGCGGTGCCGAAGACTGTGGAGAATGCCGGGAAGGGGTCGCCTTCCATTTCTGGCGCTGCCTCTTCGACGTGGGCGCCGAGTTGTTGAAAAACCTGGGCGGCGGCCCGCGTGATGGCGGCAACTTCCGGATCAACCGCGGCGTAACCGAGGTCGGCGCTCCAGGCGATACGCCAGCCGTTCACGCCACCTTCCAGCGCGGACAGGTAGTCAGGCGGGGTGTCGGTCATGGTGTTCGGGTCGCGTGAGTCGGGGCCAGCCAGCACCTGGAGGAGCAGGGCGGTGTCGCGGACGGTACGGCTCATGGGGCCGGACTGCGAGAAGTGATTGACCGACGGCACGCCGTACCCGCCGTAGCGGGGCACGCGCCCGTGGGACGGTTTGATGCCGGTTACGCCACTGAAACTGGCCGGGATGCGAACGCTGCCGCCGCCGTCGCTGCCGGTGGCCAGGGTGCAGAGGCCGGCGATCAGCGCCGCCGCCGCTCCGCCGCTGCTGCCGCCGGGGGTGTAGTCGGTGTTCCAGGGGTTGCGGCACGGTTCGCTAACCAGATTCTCGGTGGTGCCAGACTGGCCGAACTCCGGCGTGTTGGTCTTGCCGAGGATGATCGCGCCGGCGGCCTTGACCCGCTCCACGACGATGGAATCGATTTCAGGCACTCGGTCGCGAAAGATGGCAGAGCCGAGCGTGGTGGTAATGCCCTTGGTCATTTCCAGGTCTTTGATGGAGATTGGGATGCCATGCAGCGGCCCCAGCGTATCGCCGTTGCGGACGGCGGCTCGGCGGCTTGCGCGTCGGCCAGCGCCTGGTCGGGGCACAGGGCAAGGTAGGCGCTGAGCCTGGGGTTGAGTTCATCGATGCGCCGGTAGAAAAACTCGGTGAGCTCTACGGCGGAGATTTCCCGGTCCGCAATCATCTGCCGGATGTCGACAGCCGATGCAAAAGCCAGTTCGGAATCCATGATTGGTGTTGCTCCTGTGGGTAGGCGTAAGGGCGAGGGCGACGTCGGTTCGGGGCAGATGATGTGATGGTGTATAGTGGGCGACCGATGTGGCGCTCATTCTAGCATTGTGGCCGAGGGGTAAGGCGTTTCGTACATGGGAACCGTGGGAATTATTGCTAATCCCGCCGCGAGCAAAGACATTCGACGGCTGGTTGCGCAGGGCCGGGTTGTGCCCGATTGGGAAAAGGTGAATACGATTCGCAGGGCGCTGGTCGGCCTGCAGTCTACCGGCATTGACCGGGTGTTGGCGATGCCCGACAGCGGCCACCTTTGCCGACGGGCCGCCGACGACCCCAGCGTCAACATTGCCCTCGAAATGCTGCCGATACACTCACTGTACACCGAGGGAGATACCATGCGGGCCGCCGCCATGATGGCCGAGATGGGCGTGGATTGCCTGATTACACTGGGCGGTGACGGAACCAACCGCGCCGTGGTGGTGGGCACCAACCAGCTGCCAATCGTGGCGATTTCTACCGGCACCAACAACATCTTTCCGGTGATGGTCGAAGGGACGCTGGCCGGCATTGCCGCCGGGCTGGTGGCGTCGGGACGGATGAGTCTGTCCGATACATCGGTGGTGAGCAAGACGCTGCAAATCTGGAATAACGGTGAGTATCTGGACGTGGCGCTGGTGGACGTTGCCATCTCGCGCGAGCGGTTCGTGGCGACGCGGGCCATCTGGAATCTTGCCACTGTTCACGAGGTGTTCCTGACTCGAGCCGAGCCAGCCGGGATTGGGTTGTCGTCCATCGGCGGGCGTTTGCATCCCATATCGATGGGCGACGTTGGCGGGTTGCGCTACCGGCCGGGGCTTCCCGATGCCGATGCTGAGATGCCCTCAACGGCGACCACGGTGATCGCGCCGGTGGCGCCGGGGCTGGTGGAGTCGGTGGCGATTGCCGACTGGAGTCTGTTGCAGGAAGGCGTGCCGGTGGACCTTGAACCCAGGAATTGCACCGTGGCGCTGGACGGCGAGCGTTCTCTAACTCTCACACCCGATGACCACGCCCAGATTTTGCTGGCTCGCAACGGGCCGCCGGTAGTGCAGGTGCAACGCACGCTGCGTCGGGCCGCCGAATTGGGCCTGTTCCTGATGGCGTAGCCCCGCAGCTTCCTGGATTCATTGGATGCTGGTTGGGTGGGAACTGGCGATGAGCCTGGGCGTGGTGTTCCTGGGCGCTGTCGTATTGGGGACCATCAGCTTTGGGCTGGGCATGGTGTCGATGCCCTTCCTGTTGCTCGCATTGGCCCCCCAGGAAGCGGTGGTTATCATCAACGCGATGATCGTGCTGACCACCGGCCTGACCGTGGCCCAGACCTGGCGGCATCTGAGGCTGAAGGAATCCTGGCTCTTCGTGGCCGCTGGCTTACCTCCGGTGCCCATTGCCGTTGTGTTGCTGAATGCGGCCGATCCGGTGATCCTACGGTTGACGATTGTGGGGTTGATTCTGGTGTTGGGTGTGATGAGCCTGTTTCAGATTAGCCTGCCGGGGGCGAGGCAACGCTGGGCGGCTCCGGTTTGCGGGTTCACCACCGCCCTGATGGTAACCACGCTGGGCGTTGGGGGGCCGCTGGGCGGACTCTATACCATTGAGCAGGACTGGTCGCGGGACACGATGCGCGGGACGTTGGCGCTTTATTTTTTCCTGGCGTCTGGACTGGCGATGGTGATGTTCGTGGCCATCGGGCTGGTTCCTACTGACACGGCGCAGAACATCGGGGTGTTGGCGATTGCGGTTGTGCTGGGTTCGGGCGTGGCTGCACTGGTAGCGCGGCGCATGAGTTTGGGGTTTTTCCGATACGCGGTGCTGGCGGTAACCATCGGGGGGAGCGCATCGCTGCTTGCCAGGGAATTACCGCGCCTTATCGGCGGTCAGTAGCAATCCGAATCTATTCGATTAAATCGCCTCCCCCATCGTACCGGGGGAGGCGGCGCGTCAACCGGGGAGCCCGGCGCAACGCGGGCGCGTTCGTAATGCGGCGAGTTCGTTAGGAAGACAGGTCGTGGAAAGCGGCCAGGGCAGCCGTGATGCCGTCGCCCACCGCAGCGCCGAGCTGGCGGGTTGATTCTGCCCGGGCGTCGCCGCAGGCGTAAACGCGGGGGACGTTGGTGCGCATGTGAATGTCGGCGTAGACGTGGCCGAGTTCGTCCATGTCCAACACTTCCTTGAAATACTCGGTGTTGGGGTGGAAGCCCACGTAGATGAAAGCGGCCGCCGTGGGATAGTCGTAGACCTCGCCGGTTTTGAGGTTTTTGACACGGGCGGCTTCGAGCACGTCGTTACCGACGAACTCTTCGACGACATGGCTCCAGAGCCACTTGTACTTGGGGTTGGCGAAGGCGCGGTCTTGCAGGACCTTGGTGGCGCGCAGTTCGTCGCGGCGGTGGATGACGGTTACGGAGTTGCAGATTCCGGTGAGGTAGAAACTCTCGTCCATGGCGGCGTCGCCGCCGCCGACCACCACCACATCCTGTCCGCGGAAGAAGTTGCCGTCGCAGACGGCACAATAGGAGACTCCGCGTCCGCTGAACTCGTCCTCGCCGGTGGCGCCCAACTTGTTGTGGGAGCCGCCGGTGGCGATGATGAGGGCGCGGGCGGTGAAGTCGCCTTCGGAGGTGCGAATCAGCTTGCGATCGTCGTGCAGATTCTCGACGGCCTCAACCTCCGCGTATTCCATTTTGGCTCCGAAGCGGTCAGCCTGGCTAAACATTTCGTCAGCCAGGGCCTGGCCTTTGACGCCGGTCTGGAAGCCGGGATAGTTCTCAATCTCGTCGGTGATGAGGAGCTGCCCACCGGGGCCGATGCTCTCGATCATTACTGTGCTGAGCATGGCGCGTGTGGAATAGAGCCCGGCAGACATGCCGGCTGCGCCGGCGCCGAGTATGACAACGTCGTAGTCCTGTGCCATCGGGATGGTTCCTCCTTGAGGTGGTAAACCTTGGGGTGTCGGTGTTCGGTTAGTCGCGGCGACGGTCGGGGGTCAGTCTGACTCGGGCCGGCCGTCGGTTCGTGGAATCGCGGATATGATCGACGGCGAGTTTGAGGCCCTCTTCCAGCTGTACGGTGGGTCTCCAATCCAGATCTTTGGTGGCGCGGGCGGAATCCAGGGCGATGCTGAACACCTCTCCTGGTCGACGGGGCTGGTAGGACGGTTCCTTGTCGAATCCGGTGAATTCCTTCAGCAGCCCGTACACGCGGCCAATGTTAACGGGATCTCCGGTGCCAATGTTGTAGGTGCCGCCGTCGCCGCGGCGCATGGCTGCAATGTTGGCGTCGACGACGTCGGAAACGAAAACGAAGTCGCGCTCCTGTGTGCCGTCGCCGTAAATGGTGGGTTGTTTGCCTTCCAGCATCAGGCCCGCGAAGATCGCGACCACTCCGGCCTCGCCGTGGGGGTTCTGGCCGGGACCGTACACGTTGGCGTACCGCAGGATCGTATAGTCCAGCCCGTAGGTGCGGTGAAATAGTTCCAGGTAGAGTTCTCCAGCGTACTTGGACATTCCGTATGGAGTGAGCGGGTTGACCGGGGTGTCCTCGTTGCAAGGGATAATTTCCGGGGTCGCCGTAGAGGGCTCCGCCGGTGGATGAGAAGATGAACTTGTCCACGCCTTCGGAAGCGCAGGCGGAGATTAGTCGCACGGTTCCCACCACGTTGGTATCGGCGTCGTTCACCGGATCGGCCGCCGATCTCGTAACGCTGCTTTGAGCCGCCAGGTGGTACACGATTTCCGGGCGTTCACGTTGGACAACCTGTTCGATTTTGGGGTCGTTGATGTCGGCGTGATAGAAGACGGCGTGGTGGTTGACGTCGCGCAAGTGGCCGGCGGTGAGGTCGTCAATTACCGCCACGGAGCACCCACAATCCAGGAGACGGGTAACTAGGTGGGAGCCGATGAAGCCGGCGCCGCCGGTAACCAGGACTTTGGTAGGTTCTGCCATCAATGTACGCTCAGCCAAATATGCCGCGAAACCGGGTTTCGCCGCTTCACTATCGTAATCCAAACACCGGAATGGGGCAACCGGCGGGCGCGTTCCGGGGCTCCTGCGTACCCACTTTGTCACTGCGAGCGCAGCGTGGCAATCTCGTCGCCGTAGCAACGGCGGTTCGCCGACGTGTGTACAGCCTCATCGAGATTGCCACGTCCCTCGACGAGCTAGCAGCCCGTCCGAGAAACACGACTGGTGAGTCTGTAGGGGTATGATGGGTGGAGTTCATTAGCGAGGAGGCGGCGATGAGCAAGACCTACGTTCCCTACGATCCCGATCAGCAGTTGTTGCTGCCGGCGGCCCTGCAGGAGTGGCTGCCCGACGACCATCTGGCCTACTTCATCTCGGACGTGGTGGACCAGTTGGACCTGTCGTCAATCACCGCCCGCTACGAGGGAGAAAGGCGGGGTGGCCCGCCTTACCATCCTCGGATGATGGTCAAGGTGCTGCTCTACGGCTACTGCGTCGGGGTGGCGTCATCACGGCGCATTGCCCAGCGGCTCCACGAGGACATTGCCTTTCGGGTGCTGGCGGCGAACAACACGCCGGACTTTCGCACCATCTCCGACTTCCGCAAGGACCACCTGGCGGCGCTGTCGGGGTTATTCCTGCAGGTGCTGGCGTTTTGCCAGCGGGTGGGGCTGGTGAAGCTGGGTCATGTGGCGCTGGACGGCACCAAGGTGAGGGCCAACGCCTCCAAACACAAGGCGATGAGTTACCGGCTCGACTTTGTACAAAAGCTAGATAAGTTATAAGGACAGGGTAAGCTCGACCAAATCACCACAAGAGGT